TCGATAAACAAAAGTCTCACCAATAAGATCGAAGAAGAATTGATAACCCCTTTAATTGATGGCCTCCTTATCGATGATCTATCGAAGCAAGTTATAATCGAATTCTACTTTAGGTTGAATGAGCATCGATGGTGCTGACTTTGTTGATGGACTTAAGTTAGATGCTCCCGCATCAACAAGTTTTATCCGACTCAACTTACTTACTGGAGGGATCCTACTCTGATACCATCTATCACGGCTCGGTAGTTCTTTTGCCACGGAATAGCCCATATAGCTCCTGGCGAGTCGTTCACACCAAATCAGCCCTTGTTCTGTAGTTATTCTAAAGAATAATACAGCGAACAGCTTCCTTGTATCGGATCGTACCATGTACAGCTAAGCTTGGGCGTCTAGTCCATTGAGCGAAACACGTATAATACTTTAGGCACCACAACTGGTTTTGGCCTGCCATGGCTTCACTAGGAGAGCGGTATAAGCTCCTGACCAGTTTGTGCATGGGAGGTCAACCCCGCCTTCAAAGCTCTTAAATGTATATTTGTTCCATCTTAGAACTCCTAGTACCAACCGTCCTAACACCACTCCCACAACCAAGTTGTATTCATCCATTTTGCATCACTCACTCTTCACTCAATAACCCCAAACTCCACTCACAAGGGTATAGGAGTACGAGAGAATCACAGTTCGTAACACATGCATACACATTATATTAGGACTTATGCATACATATCACCACATGACACGTCATATTTTGCCACATCGCTATCATGAATGCATGTTTTCAAGACACACAACACATATATGTAGGCGTAAAGTGATCCTAACCTTCTGCCTGATTACGTCTCAACAAAATAGAATCGTATTCTTATTTTAGGAAATTAAATGAGAAAAGAATTTCAAAATGATTCAATAAAAAATGTGGTATCGAAAAAGCGCCTTGGGGGTGCTAACCCTTCTCCAAATGTAACTGAACCCTTAGACCATAGATTAGTGATTGTTTTGCAGATGGACAAGTCACCTTCACAAGTGCACCTGTATAGTTCATCTTCCCTAATACTATCTAGGATTCTGGGTCCAATTAGCAGGCTACACGTTTGTTTTTAAAACTCAAAAATCAACTTTCATATATTGCCACTAACCTAAGATTAGAAAAGGTCCTAAGGACCCACAAGGCAATAGAAATTATCTTTAGTGATTCATTTGATCATATCTGATTCATTAAAAAATTTAAAGTAATGGTAATTTATTTTATTTTACGTACTTGTCGACGTGTATTTTTCAAATATAATGATCTCAAAAAATTATCTTATTAGAGTTAGCTATAATTATCCATTCAACAATAGGAAATTATCTCTAATTATGCAGTTTGTCATATTAATTTATATAATATGGGAAATTTATAAGATATATAAAAAAAAAAATCCCTTCTAGAATATTAGGTAATTGTTGTTTCTATATTTGCAAAAATATTTTCATTTATTTATATTTTGAATCGAGGTGTAATATATCTATATAATCCTCTAATATCCTTTATTCGCCATATATCGGCTATAAATTTTATATTTTTTTAATGGTAGTTTAACGTCGCTTAATTGTGAAAACATATATTTGTATTATATATCCACTTATTATTCAACTCTTGAAAAAAAATGATGGATTTAATCATAAGTGTCACCAGTAATTATATTTTTAGCCATAATTATTCATGGACTTGTACAATCAGGTGATATGGCCCCTAAATAAACTATAAAAAGTAATGATTGTTCTTTCATTTACTTGATAATTATTATTTTATGGATATATGAAATAGAAAGCCCCACATTGTTAAATTTTTTCAAAAGCTCGTCATAAACGATTTTTTGTGAAACAATTATATAAGTCAATAAAAAATAGAATGTACATATTACTCAACAATTACATTTAAAGATTCTTATCAGAATATCATAATCTTATTATTTCTTGTACATCGATTAGAGATTTATTACTACAATATATATTAATGATTTATTACCAAAAAAATGCAAAAAATTAGAGATGAAAATTATAAATTTGCTAAAATGACCACGAAAAGTGAATTGCTGGATAAAGCTCACACGGGCATGCCTTATACAACTCTCTATCTTACTATTTGAAATTTTTGAAAAAAATAAATAAATATTCGAATTATATAAAACACCAAAGTGTAAGTTCCCTAAAACTAAAGATGAAGTCGCGTGAAAACTTTCTTCGATAACAAATCCACAAACCTGCAATTCTGGCCATTACTTAAAACCAAACCGCACTACATTCCTCGAAGAAGTCTCGGGGACACCAAATAACTAACGGTACAGTTGACAGTCTTGAAAGTGGAAAAATTACCGAAAAAAATCTTAAATCTATCACATTGATATCAATTTAGTCCTAAATCTTTCAATTGAGCCAATTTAATCGTAAACATTTTCACATTGGTACCAAATTAGTCCATCCGGGCTAATTTATTAGGCGACTCCATTAGGTTGCCATGCCAACATTTTTCTTCTTGTGGAATCTTTCTTTCTTTTTATCTCTAGCCAAAAGAGAACCAAAATCGCAATCGCTAGATAAGACTTTCAAAGTTTTCGTACCTTTGAATTATCCAAAAATAACGAGAATTCAAATTATACTTTAGCTAAAAACATGAATTACCAAATATGACAAAATAGCCCAGTGGAGTTGGGCCTTGGTTCATAGCCAACGTGCGTTAGAATCGCGTATCGAATCCTAGTGCCAACGCATGCAATGGGTTTATTAACCTCTTAGGATTGGCACTGTCGATTAAGGTGTCAAATCTCATCAATTACGTGCAAATTGTTTTGGGTTATGGTATGATCTTAATCGGTTCATGGAAATTGCAGGGTATTCCATTAACCTTCAAATAGTCAAGCTTCTATACTCATGCCTCTGTATAAAAGAAATAAATGAATTACCTCCATGAATAGATTCGCAAATGTAAATAGACCATGTGAAGATTGTTGCAATGATTATTACATTGTTGAATACAACAAAAGTTGATACTCTTTAGGGTTAATACCACAAAAAACCTCAAATTGGTACACTTGTGATAATTTTATCCCAAACTAATTTTTTACCACAAAAAACCCCAAACTGGTATACTTATGACAAATTTACTTTCTGTTAGTTTCTGTTAAATTGAATTAATACTATGAAAAATCACAAACCAGTACATCTGTGACAAATGGAAGGTAAAAATCCAAACTGGTACACCTGTCAACTACTACATGTCATCCAGCTTCGACGGTAAAATTTAATAGAAACTAATGGAGAGTAAATTTGTCACAAGAATACCAGTTTAGGGATTTTTATGGTCAAAAAATTAGTTTGAGGTAAATTTGTTTCAAGTGTATTAATTTGAGGTTTTTCATGATATTAATCTCACTCTTTATACGACACTCTTCAATAGATTATTGCTTCGTTTCTTTGTTTTTTCTTCTTTTTTTCATGTTGTGCAATTTCACTAGTTTGAGATAAACCAGAGTAACTAATATGAACTTTGTCGACACATGTCTTCGTATGGACACTCAGTTAAATAACAAAACAAGGGAACTTTTTAATTTTTTGTACATTAATTTCCCTTATGATTATCAAGCATACTGTCACTCTTTTTTTCTTTTAATGTGCCAATTAAGACCCCCAAGGAACATGATCCTATCAATATAGTCACTCCTATGTAGGCTTCTATTTCTAGCTGCTGTGTGGAACATGGCGAATCGAATTGAGCCGTGTAGCGCCAAACTCGAACTCGACTCCATCATGTACTCAAGGCACAAAATTTCAGACTTGAGTAACATAATAGTTTATGCACGATCTCCACTCAAATAGAAGATCGAAATACTCTAACTTGACTCAACTCAACTATAATAAATTTATAAAGGAACTGGATCTCGAGCTCGATCTGAAAAAAAAAACTCCAATATTACAGATATATAATGTAATTTTGAAGATTTTCGGGTCTAATTTTTATAAATATGGACATTTATGACAAAATACTAAAAGTTTGATTAGACTCGCGAGCATGTCGAGTAAAGTATTCTTGAGCTCGAGCTTGACCCACAAGATGCTTGAGTTCGAAATTAGACAGGTTGATCACGAGTAGTTCTCGAGTCAAGTCTGACCTCTCCCAAGCACATTTTTCCTCCCACCACAGGTGCGGGGTTTGATTCCCGTGCTCTGCAATAGGCAAAGCAAAAGTTAGAGAGTGAAGAGAGTTAGAGATATGATAGACAAAAGAAATAATAATTAAATAAACAAATAGAAAGAACAAATCCGTCTTCCTTCAAGTATCAAGAATCAATCACTAAAACCTCAAAAAAGAAAAAAGAAATGACAAGAAAGAAGCAACAAGATTAAAACAAGAAGATGCAGCTATTTTCTTTTTCCTTTTCTTTTTTTTTCTGCCTATAATTATATAAATGTTGAGGACTCCCTCGAGATAGAATTGGTTGACCCAGTACTTGGAATTTGCTTCTGAAATTGGAATGAGGTTAGTTGCTTTTGAACGGAGTGGCTTGCATTTAGCTCTCTCTCTCTCTCTCTCTCTCTCTCTCTCTCTCTCTCTAAAATATGTGGATATGATGAAATAAATTTGAGTATTACAGGCTGTTTCCTTTATTCTCTCAGGGCCCCATTTTGTGAGATTAATTCTGGTGACAATCATAACCTTCTCTTCTCTTTGGCTCTCCCCAAAACTCTCTGCATCCTTGTCCAAATGGTAAGAAAAACTTCTTCTTCTTTCTTCTATCACGTCAATTCATTAGCTTATCATGCTTGATCATCATTTTAGTTCTTGAACAACTTAGGTAAATCCATCATCTTGTCATGCACCATTCTTCATTGATCAAATGTTTACGCACAAAAATCTGACTAGGCATGCCGCGATATATGTTGTAACTGTTCGCTGAATTGCAACGGGCGCAGCTATTTTTCTTTATGCTGAGAGCACTGCAATAAGAGTTTATTTCGGGGGTTGGATAAGTTTTTTTTCCGATTTTCTGAGTCTTTTTTTTACAAATGTGTAGGGACATACACATCCGGTGAAGGCGTCAACTTTGAGCCTCTGGGTAGGAGCGCTTGATTCTGCTGCCCCCGTTTTCGGCTGCGTGAGCTCGAGCGAAATTCGCTAGATATGATCATGTGCGACAGTGTTTCTGGACAGCTCGTTTGCTCTGTCAAACTGGGTACGTCTCAATCTTCTTGTGGAATCTGTTTTTCCATTTCCCTCAAGCAATGTGATTTGCTTGCAAAGTTGGCATTCCACTCAGGCTCTCAACGTGGTATCCAGTAGTTAAGGTTGTAAGGTATAGCTGATCACCCCATGGAATTAGAAGATAATGCTTATTTAGGGCAAAAGATGAATCATAATGGCAATTGAATTGGATTTGAATTATAGATGACTCGTTTCACTTCTTGATAGCTCAAAAGCCATGACTTCTGACCTCCTAAGTTCTCTCCCTCATCGTGTGATTTTCTACAAGAGGCAAAGAAACAGAGATGCTGATTGAGAAATATGTTTTCCATGTTCTTCAGCGGATCAGAGAGGCACAATGATGTTAACATTTATGAGATGTGTATTCTTTCACCGCATTCGTCATCGCCGGGTGCCTGAGAAGTTTTGATGACAATCCTGATGCCATAAAGTAGTCAACTTAGGTTGGCATTTCTTGGATTCGATATTTTGGAAAAAAAAAAACGAAGGAGAGAAGTTTGGAATTTGCATTTCAATCATCAGAAAAGGTTCTTCCCCTCTGGAGCATCATTCGGCTTCCCGAGGATGGTTTGCGTCAATCATTTCGCAAAGTGTAATGTCGCAGCGGGTTCGATAGCCTGGAATTGTTGTACAAGTTCCCGTTTAAAGTCAACCTCAGTTTGCTTTCTGTATTGCTGATGATGCATTTGAGGATGTTTTCTTTTCACTTCTTCCACACAGGACAGAGAGGACTCAGAAACTCGATATGGAGATCTCCGAGGATGAGAGGAAAACCAAGCTTGGCTCCCCAAAGAAGGCAGCAATGAATGCCTCAACCAAGAGGGGCCGAAGAGGCGGCAACGTCGAGTCTATCTTGTTCGACAAAGACGACAACGCTGAGGATTCATAGGCAGTGAATGTGCTTTGCCAAGTACTTATCCCAGAAGAGCTTTTGCCATCTAAAGACGATGATCAAATATCATACTAAGGTCGCTTTCTATTTCAGTGATCGTAGTATTCAGGTGTCATTAAATTTAAGTGTGATTATGCAGAAAACAAGGCGATACTGGAGATTAAGATTTTTTAGGGCCAGAGTTCAATATCGAGAAGACAAAGCAAATGTGGACCGACATGCTCCGGTGGAGGAAGGAACTTGGCGCAGACACAATCATGGAGGTAATCATCGACAAGGACTCGTATTCACATGATTATTTCATTCCACGCTCTCTAAAATTACCGGGTACTAATAATCGACACTTTTTCTTAGGACTTTGTCCTCAATATGCAGAGCCCGGAATTTTGCAGGTAATCTAATGCTTGACATATTTCTTGCATCATGTACTCGCAGGGATTTCTTTTCCCTCGATCTCTTCTAGGGGAAACCAAAAAGTAACTAGCCATAACAGATTGCGAAATTTGCCAAACAAACAAATATAGAAGCTTAAATTATGTAGAAATATTAGGTCTCAAGTTTTACTCACCTCACACTGCAAACAAGGAAAGAAGCTGGGACAAATCAAAAGACAAATTTTATGCACAATAATTCTGCATATATATCCTTACAGTCTGCGCATGACAATCCAGTTTCTTGGGCTTGTGTATTCCCCCCCATAGTATCAACACAAGATATGTGGAACACCGTTCGAAGGCGTCCATGAGGAATAACAAGTATCCCCTGGTCCTCTCTCTATCTTTCTCTCCATCAGCAAAACACTCTTACCAGCAAAACTTCTTTTTCTGGTCAACATGCAGTAATCTAATATTAGCTCAAGGAAGTACCATCTCTTTCGTCTGTCTATTCACAGAAAAGGAAGCAAAATATAGATCATCAACTTACCCGAAATTGCGTCTCTCGTTGATGATCTATGTATGCAAGCAGCTCCTCTTGCCTTATCAAGGCCTCATATAGAGCCTGCAAGAAAAGTGAAGCAAACAATAGAAAAGGGGCAGTAGTCAAAAAAGTCGCATTTGAGATACCAAGGAAGCTTTGCTCTTTCAACTTATGGAATTATAAGCCACATGCATAATATGGGTTTGGGAAAATGCAAAAGCTGAAGCGCATAGGTGTGGGAACTACATGCGCTCATGTACGTCTGAGGGCAGATTACCGTTCTAATTTCTATAGGTTCATTAAGACCTTAACAGGTGCCAACCCATACATACAATCACATAAAAGCACCCATATTTCATTGATGAACTCGTGCACAAGCTAGCATGTCTAAATGTCATGTGAGACATACATCAAAATATATTTTTCATAACTTCATAAATTTGAATTGCTTATACAATGGAAGAAGTTTGAGTTCTTACCTGGAGCAATTTCTAGATAAAAAAAAATGCAGAACATAAATGCTTATTAACAAATCTACGGTTAAAAGAGAGAAGTGATGACTAAATAATCTTCACGCACGCACGCACAGAAGATTGAGGTGGCAAACTAAATGCCATACAATACACCAATGACCTGATTTCTAAACAGAAACAATGCAAAAATATTCCAAGGATCAATCACTGTATAACTTCATATTCAAGCAGGATGAACTTTGTGAAGCAAGAGAGAAACCAATTAATGGTATCAATGATAATTTATTTTGTTAGTGTGAACCCATTAATAGTTGCTCACTTTTCTTTCTTCTTTTTTTTTCTTTTTTTCTTTTTACTTCAGCCTAAGATCGAAGCCTGAATTTGAAACCACTGCTTTATATAAAGTTAAAAAGAGATGATCTTAATATAGCTATAATGAGAAGTCTTAACACGATGTGATAATGATGAAACATGAAAGAATCCCCCCAAAGAAAATGGAAAAAACAAGAAAAGAAGTGAATTCTTTACTAAACATAACAAGATTACCTTTTTAGTAGCAATTAGCTCTGCTTCTAAGGCATCAACACGGCAAACAGCAGCATTAAGCAATTCCTCTTTCTCATAGGGCATTTCAGATGGCTTTGCTTTAAGTGTATCGACCTTCTCCTCCAGCTCACCCAGTCTTTTCAGTACAGAGGAGAGGAGATCTGCCTCAGTAAATGCCGGAGTAGGTGATGGGGGACGGAACTCTTCCTTCTGAGTACTATCAGGAGCAACTTCGGAAATATTCTGGTCAACATTAAGTGGTGCGCTGGGAAGCTTCTTAGTAACACGGTGTGTTATTGATCGGAGCAAAGCAAAAAGAGTCATGAAGAAGGCCATAACAGCTAATAAAATCCGAGCACGAAGTCCTTCTGGTGTCTTTGGAGGGTCTGGCTGGGCTACAGTTCCTGAATCATGGGAAATTCAAATCATACTTAATTTTATCAAACACGTGATTGTAAATCACAGATTGGCCAGCATTATTAACAAAAATACATGCTTGACATGCTAATGGCAAACTTGAAGAATTCACAACCGGCCCAGTGGTAAGTCCTCAACTACAAGCATAGATTTCATTCCTCAAAGCATACATCAAGAACAGGGATCCTCTAAAGTAGTAGGTCATCACCAGTTCCTGGTCTCCAAGGGTTGGCGAATATTAAGAAGCAGAAATATAATTCGCTTCTTCTTAAAAACAAACGAGAAAACCATACATAGTTCCTGAGAATTAATTTTCCTTGAGTAGGCACAGCTTTGAGTCCTTGCAGCTGTGGATATCATCCATAACAAGGATTCTAACAAGAAATAGCCACTGCCAGGATAAACTAGGTGACGGAAGCAATTAACACGGATCATTAGAAGTTCAGCTTACCCAGCACCCGTGTCTCATAATTTAAGTCTAACTTGTCTTACATAGTATAAGAAGGAATAGCCAGTTGTTAGTTCGTCCTCAACTGGTACTCTTTACTTTCTGTTTCAGTCACTGGGTTTACATAAAAAGGAGAGCAGATATGCTAACCTTTAGAAGCAAAGTGCCTCTGAAGGGTTGATTGCTTCTTCCAACCAGCATCAACTGCTTTATCAACCATGGGCACATATTCATCATACCCTGAGAACGTTCCAGCATAGCTTGCCCTTCCAATTGCCTTAGCCTATACATTTGAAACACGTTGTAAATGGAAGCCGCAAGCCAGAATCCAAAAATACAGCTACTCTTAAAAATCCAACAACTCGCAATACAATAATACACAGCTTGGTAATTTACAACACATCACAGAAGAAGAGAGGCAACTCATCAGGAAATGTTAGATTCATTAAACATTTCAAGAATAGCTCTATGGAGCTTCATAATACAAGTCAAACCAATACAAGAGCTAAAAATTGCATATACATAGCAGTAAAAACTCACTTCTTCTCGAACAGGAGTCAACCGAAGATGAGAGTAACTCTTCATTGCTTTTGGGGAGGCAATATCTTCAGCTTCAGATCCCGATTCAGCAGTCGATGTATCACTCCCTTTAACCTAAACCGGATCATGAAAGGACAATTATACTCTTACTTGCAAATAAATATACGCCAATCCCAATCTCACTTACCTTACCAAAAAAAAAAAATATACGCCAATCCTTCATGCATTCATCATTGTCTAAGTCAGATAGAGGAGCAGGACATACTGCCTATATTCATAGCTTAAATATCCTAAACTCAGCCAAAAAAGGTCTAAAAGCTAAATAGAGGTTTCTCAGATTTATCAGAGACCTTTAGGGCATGTTGTACTAAAGGTGACTATACCACTGAAATGAGTGTCCCCCCAAAATAGAAGACTCTTTACCAGGACTTTATATCTTAACAACCAAATCCATGGGCTTAGGCATTCATTTATCATAAGTTTTTATATCATTAAACACATTACTATTAATAACAAAGGGCAGAGCTGCAAAATAAGCACGTCCCGGTATCAAATACACTGTGTCACCCGTAGCTACAGCATCCTTGGAATTCTCGTGCATATATTTAAGGCAGAATAGACATAGAGAAGAACCAACCATTGGAAACCGTGGCTTAGCATAAGCAATGACCTTCCCCTCACTATTCAAAACCTTAACAACCTGTCTGGCTCGTCGTGATTCACCACTTAAAACCACCTGTAAAGAGTCACTACATGAGGCCTTACCATATATAAACTAAAGCAAGGTATGCAGCTTAAACCTTCAAATGACAAAGGACTTAGACCATTATATACCTTCAATATATCTGGGTTTTTCCATGGCCCCTTGTCAGATCGAAGACAACCACCCTGATCAGCACAGGTGCAGGTGCCACCTAGAAATACTGGCAACTCACTGTGCATAGGGAAATTGAGCATGTAAGATGGCAGAACTATACTCATAAAAAGTCAGAAAATAAGAACTGTGATAACCATTTTGTGCGCATGTGGTTGCTTACACCAGGTTTAACAGCAAAGGCCTATGCTTACCTGGCATCAATTATCTCAAGCAACTTGTTCTGAAACTTGCTTCCAAGAACCTACAATTTCCCAAAAATTTAAAAATAAAGAAGGAAAAAAATTGACACGCACTGAAAAGCTGGAAGAAAGAAATACAGCATACATGTATCTTGTTAGTAGTTTTTGGATCCAGAAATGACTTGACAGTATTCCACAGCAGCTTAAATCCAGGACCAGCATTGATGATGAACATTTGGAAGAGAGTCTGCAGCAATTGAGGTTCCAAGCAAATAAGAATCAAGCAACGTCATAATTATTTTTGCAAAATACACACCACAAATTATGTGACATTAGAATTTAAAGAATATTGAGATATGTACCTCCGGGTAGTTGTCACTATCAATCTTCTGAAGTCGCGTAATGAGTTCTCGCGCAGATTTAGTGAAGTTCTTAAAGCCCTGAACAAACACGGGGGAAAAATGTAGAGAATATATCATGAAATGCACCATAATACAGCCTGCATATATAAGGTAATTAATCACAAGTAAACATACCACGCCTTGCACATCTAAAATGGTTGTGTTCGAATCTATGTGCCTCTTTGCAGCTATCGTACAAGCTGGAAACTTGACAATAAAGCTTTTCTCAAATTCTTGCACATGATATCTAATATATCGATCAAGAGTCGTGACTTGCATAAGCTTGGTAGGATCAACTTTTCCCAGCCTTTCAATGTAAACTGGTCTTCCCTCTTTATCCACACCATGATATCCATGAGGATAATACTTCAGAACTTCATCTAACTCTTTAAATTCAAAATCCTGAAAACAGGCATCATTTGGTGTACAGTGAAATCAAAAAAAATTTACCAAGGCAGTCAAATAATCATATCGGTAACTGTCAACTAAAATAACCTCCATAATAGTGTCAACACCAAATTCCTTTCTCCACTGAATCATGTCAGCCCACATGTGCTTTGCCTTTTCAATATCAAATTTTCTTGCCTTCAAGAACCTAAAAGATTCCAACATGTACAAATAATGTGAGAATAAAAATGCGATGCATAGCAGACCGATTCTGTAGAACCACAAAGATATGCCAAAAAACATTCCCGCAAACGAAATGACATGGCTTATATGAGATAAATATTAGCATTTTCCATGCATCAGAAAGAACATATAAGTTTGGCACATGCAGAAAGACCAAAGCAGAAAGGAAATATCTTATAATTATCGGCTATACAGAAGGAACCAAGACTGCTACCCACAAGATTTACACCTAGAAGCTATGAATATGTTCCTCCAATTTAGGCATGAACTGTCAAGGCTTGCTTGGTTTTACTTTAGAAAAGGAAAACTGGCTTTACTTCCCAAATTTGAAGACGAAAAAGAAACAAATCTCCAAAAATTATGAAAAACTAGATAAAAATCTACAAGCCAATATTTGTATATTTTCAAAGATATCAGGTGTTTAGCGTTAAATATAATTAGAACTGTGAGAGCTGCAAGAAAGGGCAAAAGGTAAAAAGTGAAAAAAGCACAGTAAGTATTGCACATGTCCTAGTACTAACCGTCTAGCAGTATGTATTTTCAAAGACTTGATTTTATGCAAAGTATACACTGTGACACAAGCATCTTAACCAGCATGTAGATGAACTGTAAAACCATATGAAGATGTCATGAGTTTATAGGAATCTAACTAAAAAAGAGCCAGCATCTCATTGAAAGGAAGTGCTTCTAAATACTGAGAGAACCAAACTTCAGCCAGATGTCGGCAGAGAAAACAGAAAAATCTATAATGAGCTGGTTAAGTTACCAATGCCTATTTCATGACCGACAAAAACAGCACATTACAATCAGATAGAAATCACCGGCAGAAATGAATGGAAAGCTAGATCTGGTTATTTATCAGCTCGATACACAGATGAAAGGGTTAAACGGCGTGCTTTTTTTTGCATGCAAAAAACGTATATATAGGACAAACAGAATTACCGTAACATCATGTGATAATCATCGTGCTTGTCTGGCAGCAATTCATCCAAAATCAGTGCCTGTCGAAATGAATCAACTGCCTGTAGCTCTTCTACATCCCGAACATCCTCAATGGAAACAGAGCTAACTCTACCATCACTTTTCCTTCTACTGCTCTTTTTCTTCAAGGAATGTTTGAACTTCGAAGACGCATTTATCGCCTTTTTCTTGAGGGAACCCATTCTAGTCCTCCTCTCATCTTCAGAGTTTTCAAAGTCAGATTTCCTCTCTCTTTTTTCATCACTACCAGAAAATCCCTCAAAGCCTGACAGGAAAGAGTCATTTTACATACAGGTTAAAATTTTTAACTGACGCAAGACAAGCCAGACCCAGCACTAACTATAAAGAATGAATTAACTCCAGCAAAACGTAGTTCCAGAGACTGGACACTTATTGGCGATTGGTGCTAATCCAACAATACAATTGACTCCACAAACGAGCAGAAACAAAACCCAACACTCAATGACGTGACCATATGTAAAACAACAAAACGAAACATCCCCGACTTCCATTCCCCTTTAAAACTAAAAGTACAGGGAGAGAAAGCACGCAACCGAACAGGCAGCAACGATCAAGCGAAAGATATCGAAAATCTAAAATCACAGTCACCCCCTTCAGCCCAATACAGGTCAACCCTAGTCTGCATGATACCATCACGGGACCCAAATTGCAAAAATGTCAGTCAAGAGCAAGCATTCCCTTCTCTTTTCTCTCAAATGCAGCACAATCAAACCGACCAAACCGCCAGCGACACCCTAGAGCTTACCCCCACCAAACGAACACACAGCTTGAACGATAGCCCAAAACGTCCAGAGAAAACAGTCGCCCACGATCCCGAAACACCCCCCCCCCCCCAAAGCAAACAACAATCACCACAAAAACGGAACCAAAACACATCGAACAGGAACTCGAAAATCGCAAGAATTGTACTACTCACAAGGAGCATTCCCTTCTTTTTTCTCTCAAATGCAGCACAATCAAACCGACCAAACTGCCGGCAATACCCTAGAGCTTACCCCCCACCAAACGAACACACACAGTCACACACCATCCCGAACCCCCCCCCCCCCCCCCCTTCTCAGCAAACAACACAATCACCACAAAAAACAAAGAACCAGAACACATCGAACAGGAACTCGAAAAGAATCAGCAAGGAAAATTGCACTACTCACAAGGCCTCGCGAACCGATCCAGTGGTCCCGACATCTCCAAAGCAGCAGCAAAAGCCCCCCCTCCCTGCGACCAAAAAAAGAAAAGCCCCCGAGATCAGATTTCACAGCCGCGCGAGCCGCCTCATCCATCAGAAACCCTAGAAACCATCCAAAAGAGAAACAACACCGGAGCGCATTCTCTCGGTGAAGAGAAACGGCCGGGCCCCACTTCACCTCTCTGCAACGCGCGGCGCGCAAAAGCTCGCTCGGGAATCGCGGATCACGAGGAAGATCCGGCGGCGACCATGAATGCGATTCGCGCGGCCAGGAGAACGACGCCTTGCTTTCCCTACTCCTCCTCCTCCTCCTCCTCCTCAACGGATCTGCGACTTTCGCCTGGCGTTTTCCCCGGCGTCGCCGATGGTGATGGATCAGATAAAAAATTGAAATAATTTAAATAAATTAGAAAGAAGAAGGAGAGAGGGAGAGAGAGAGGGAGAGACGATATTTATGGCCGTTTTCGTCGGCCGAAGAGAGAGAGTAAAGAGAGATAGATCTGAGACGGAGAGGAGAGAGAAAGTCAGAGAAAGGAAGGTACTGTAGGTGTTGGTGGAGAGAGAGCGAGAGCTCGCAGAGAAAGGAGGGGTGCGTGGGTTGTGGGGGGTTGGGAGGTGGGGCCCGCGGGGAGCGAATGAGGGGCCGACAAGTGGATGTTGCGCCCGAGGTGGGGGCCGGGCGTGCCGGCGGTGAGGGGGAGCGCGGTTGACCCGCCTTCGCGGGGCGCGGCGGGGTGTGTGTCTCGTGTGCGTTGTGTTTGTTGTGTTTTTTTTTTTTTGGTTGGACGTTTTTTTGTGGATAATTGGGCAATGATTTGGTCGCTGCCGGCGAGAATTTTAAATAGTGCGGTAGGGGGTTTTCGATGCTCGCTGGGTCTTGTTCCATGCACGCGGGCCATTTGGAATTTGGAGGAAATAATTTAATCATTGCTCGGTTTATGGAGAAAATAACAAGAAAATTTAATCGATTCGTGCATCCATGCCTAATACGGGATAATAACACAAACAATCCCTTAATTTTGGCCCACTATGCAATGTGATTCCTGAATTTTTGATTTGTTCAATGTGATCCCTGAAATTAAACATAATGTATAATATGGTCATTGAATTTTTAATTTATTCGATATGGTTCCTAGGCTGAGAGACTACATTTAATATTTTCGTATAGTTCGGAGACTACATTGAACATGTACCGAAAGTTCAAAGATGACGTTAAACAAATTAAAAGTTCTTTGACCACATTGAACAAATTAAAAATTCGGGGATCATATTAAACATTAAACTAAAATTCATGGACTGTTTGTGTCGTTTTCCCGCCCAATACAAATTCTTTTTTCGGATTGTATGATCGAATGTTTAAACGGGTTTTGTGGACAAGCGCTGCCGGAACCATTTATCGAGTGGGAAGTTGGGAAAACTTACGATTTTCAATGCACTATTTTTTTCATGCTATATTTAATCATCGTTTGCGGAATTGAATTAGGAGGCTGTTAACGAAATAAAAGAATATTTTTATTTCCGACGCACTAATTAAACATAATGAGAAACGAGGTATTGAAAATAACAAAACATTCTCCATTTAATCCTTTGTTAACGAAATCCATCGAAATATTCCTGACTGAGCAAGCTTAACACGTGTTTCAAAGGCATTGAAAATCCTTATTTTCAATTCAATTGTTGTTACCCGAAAAATATGGTAAAAAGTGTTGCGTGTCGAAGAGAAAGAAGATGGATTGAAAACTCCCGGGCATTAGCTGACCATTGAACTTAATTTGTTGTTTGAAAGTGGGTCCAACTAGAATTATTCTTTTGCATTCATATTATGTAATTAGTAAACGGAATATCGAACTTAATTTGTTGCGCCAAACAGGAAAAGTTAAGATTGGCTTTAAAAGGTGAGAAAGCAAGAGCGATCTCACTTTTCCGATTATATTATGATAAAGATAAATATACAATTTACTTTCCAAAAAGAAACAGTTTCCATGTTTGTCACTTTTCTTGCACGAAACCAAATCTCTTCGCGATTTTTTCCGCATGAGGAAAAAGCTTGCAATCATAAAATCGATCGAGATGTGCCCGGTCGACCCATCCCAACACACTGGGGTGAGATCGGAAGGGCGCCACGACCGGGATCAAACCCTGCACCAAAGTAATCATTGGAGCGAATCTCTCGTGCCACCACCGTACCTGATATTCGGGGGAACGAAAGCGTCTTCCTGATCAATCAAAGCATTCTTCGTTCTCAAGAGCATAAGCTTGTGCAATTTTTGGATATTGAGGTTTTGATTCACCAAATGCATTTTGCGGCTGTCATCTTTTTTAGGCATCCAGAATTGACCAATTCCCAAGTGGCTACTTTCGTCCTATGATATGTGCCTCGGGACATTTTCATATGCAATGTTTGCTAGGAGTAGGATGATAGGGTCCGTGCTCATGAAGATGACCCAAAAAAGAATGTTGTGATCTTCATTGCTATTCTCTCTTTGCGGATATTTAGATGGTAATATCGACCACGTTTTGCACGGAAACCGAACTTTACATTTCCATGCTCGAATCATAGGCGGGGCGGGGCGGGGCGGGGTATCCTCGCCCTTCGCCCTTTTCACTGAACTTTACATTTCCGTGCACAAAAATCTTCATTGCTATTCTCTGTCCAGGAATTCTCCGCGGCTTGATCCTCACAACCGTGGAAGATAGAGACCGAACATAAGAAGATCTCAGGCTTTGGTACGCATTCCTGACCATTCCACCGAACCAATCGCACCCTTTCGATTTCGCCCTTCCGCCCTTTTGGAAATCACTTGTCAAATGTACCACTAGAGGAGGATCATGCCAATCTATAAGCATGGACTGGAAGTCCATTTGGAATAAAAACACACTACAATTTTTTTTGTCTTCTTTTTTTATCGGTCCTCTTTTTCTTTTTCTTTGTCTTTTTGTCTTTATGCATGATATAGGTTGAGATTCCAAAACAAGGAAAACATGAAGAATTTATGCCAAAGTTGGTCAAAGCAAAGGCATTAGTAGTCCACATTGGGGTCCAAGTCAAGCCGAAGTTGCTTTGATAAAGGGAAATTTTGTACCAATTGGTGGGGCCCTTTTTTTCCAATTTCTCGTTTTGCCAAATTTGAACTGCCAAGATTGAATTTTCTTAGAATATCGCAAGAACTCAGTCTCTTCTTTTTGGTCCATGTGGAAGACAGAAACAGAAGGATTTTTACTAGGTTTCATGAAAATGATAGCTGATACGTTTTCGGTTTCGGATGATCAATACGTGAAAGAATTCAATTACAAATTTAAAATTAAAAATGGGTATCGCTTATCTAACGATGTGTGTGTATATATATATTATACATCGATGGCGGATCTAACAATTATCCAAAAAAAAATATCAGGCAAAAGAAGAGGGAAACGAGTTGATTAACTCTGTCATTTTGTGTAGCAATAGCAAACAAGAAAAAAAATTTGTATAACTAGAGTGTGGGTCAATTTTGAGTCCGGGAGGAGAAGAAAAAGTTTTAGGGGACCAAATCCGTCCAATTTCTCGGCAAAGTGCCGACATGACGGTGACGGTGCATCCAAAAAAAAAAAACTGGCAACATGCCCGCCACATCAGTAACTAACTAGAAAACCGGCCCGATTCCCATCAAATTGCATCAACTGTAGGGAAACGAAAATTCAATGCGCTGAGCACCCGAAAATCAAAATTCAGTGATCCGACCATGAAATTCACTCAGATTCGGCCAATTGCGGATGGGATATACCCGGTCAAACGCAAGATCTTCTCTTCTTGCAATCGAAAGAGTCCTTTCCAACATTGCAAACCATTTTCGCCAGATTAGATTATGCATGTGTCGTGTTTTGTTGAAACGTCAAAATCCAATCTTTTTAATAAGGCCTGCAGGGTTGGAGTGACTTTTTCACTATGTGCCACGAATTATTCTTGCCTTTGTTGTTTTTTATTTGTGTTTTTTTCCCCAAATTACTCAATTTGACACGCAACTTCATGTGCAAGTTTTGACATGCTCTTCGATGGCATCAGCAAGGATGCATTACTTTAACCGTGCAACCCCCCGGTTGATTCTTGTGTGTGGCGTCGTTTCTGCGATGGCGAAAGCGCATCTTGAGGGAAGGTCAGACGTCGTTTCAACTGCATCGGGACCCAGCGAAGCTTTCCTTCCTTTTATTAAAATGAAATTCAGATGAACGACTCGCCAGCTGAGTGTGCAGGAACACGCCTTGGAAACCTTGTCGATGCCATCGAAATGGTCTTCTGTGTGGAATGAAAAGTACGAAATGCGAGCGTTAAAAAGAAAAGAAAAGAAAAGAAAAAGGAGTTGTGACGATCCGAGCTTCTTGAAACGGCACGAGTTTGATGGGTAAATTTAAGAGAACTGACGAAAATGCTTAACGGTTCGGTTCGGTCGAAGCTGTTGAGGGTCAACCAAAATCAGTAAGGGTGCGAATGGTAATATTTCTGTTCCCGGAAATAATTTTTATTCAGAAATAGAAGCACAAAAATTATCTCAACAAGATAGAAAAAAAAAACAGAAATGCGTTTGATACGACCCTAAAAATTTCTATTCCCAATTTTTTTTATTTAATTATAAAAATGTCAATAAAGAGTTAACAATTCGTGTTTGGATAAAATTGGACTAGAAATAAAATCAAAATATATTATGATATAGAATTGGATGACTTTATTACGAAAATTACTCATCATAGACAAAGCAAATACTGGGATGATCGAGGAAATTGCTGTTTAGGGTTTAGGGTTTGAAGGTTTTAGAGTTTGGGGTTTAGGGGTTAGGTTTCGGGTTTTGGATTTAGGAGTTTAGGCTTTGGGGTTTGGGGTTTAGGGGTTTGGGATTTAGGAAATTGTTTCTCTAACATGACTTTTTTATTTTCCAGAAACAAAGTAGATTTTTTTTTATTTCCTGTTTCTGTTCTAAATCTATTCCCTGGCCACTGATCTATTTTGAAAAAAAGAAAAATTAACTGACATACATAAACATATTTCTATTCTTTTTATACTCTAGTGAATAAAAGAATAGAAAAACAGAGA